TCCTTATTTGAATACCTGTACCCCATTTTAAACATTCCAACAGAGACATTAATGGCATTAACCTGGCGCACACAGAAAACACATGAATCACAGTTTCACTCATGACACAGAATGGACACCCCTGTCTGACTCCCGGTTCAACCCGTGCTAACCAGCTGTTAGTGGCCAGGGCTGCATGTAGAACCCTCCACTGGAGGTCCCCTGACCTCTTTGGTACTGGGAGTTTGTAGAGCCCCTCCATCTAAAACCCACCATACTCTCCGCCCCACATACTCCCTGCCACTGATGAGCCTTCACTCCTGTTAGGCTCCTAATGTTCCTTACCTTAATGCAGAGTTTGTAGAGGGCTTTACCTCCCACCCCCTCAAACTCCCCAAGGCTCGGAGTTTTAAAATCTAACAAGTCCTCCAGACCCCCTTGCCAGTCCCCAGTCTCTGCCGTCACCTGCAGTGGTGGAAACATTGGCAGTCTCTCCCCCTTTGGCCGCTCAAATACCCCCCTTACCGGCTAAGACAGTGCCTCCTGTACTTCCCCCAGGAATCTCTCCAGCAGCCTAAGAGATGTTAGTCCTGTTTGTTGTGCTAGGACTTCTGGGGTTTTCCACCCCTCCTCTCCCAGCAGTCGCAGGTCACCCATCCTTAGTAAACCCGCTGCCATCATTCGCCTCTGCAGGTTGGTCGACTGAATCGATCTCAAAAGGATGGCTGGGTTGTGGAAGATCGGCTCCTCCCACAGCCCAGGCTCCACACCCCCTTCTCGTGTGGGCCTTAGCCCTGCTGTACTCAGCCCCTCCAGCCTCATGAGGAATAGCTGCCGGTCCAACCCTAATCCGCCAGCTCTCCTCAGCAGCGCGCATGCTGGTTCCCTCCATCCGACATCAGTATGGTACAGCAGTCTCTGTGCCACTTTTAGTCTGAATGCAGCCACCCTGCTCTCCAGTTCCACCAGGCCCTGTCCTCCTTCGTTTACGGACATATACAACACTGCCGCCCTCAGCCAGTGATGGCCCGACCAGAAAAAATCCACCAGCTTGCGTTGCAGGTCTGCGAGCAGACTGGCGGGGGGGTTTGAGGACAGCCAGTTTATGCCACAGGGAAGATGCCACCAGGTTGTTGATTATCAGCACCCTCCCTCTCTATGACACGTGGGACAGGAGCCACCTCCACCTGGCCAGTCTTGGAGGCTCCAGTCCTTAAGTTCACACATGTCCCCTTTTTTGGGCAGGAAAGTCAGAGCCGCCCGACGGCAGCTCATTGGCAACTCTCCTACCCCGACGCACTCACGCAACACATAAAATAAGTCCAGTCCAATTATTCCCCAGAAGTTTTTATAAAACTCTGCTGGGAGTCCATCGACCCCCGGTGCACGGCCGGGGGACATCTGGGTTACGGCCTCTGCCAGTTCATGGGACAACAGGGGAATGTCCATTTCATCCCTCTGTGCCAGAAAGAGCTTAGGGAATTCTGCAAACAAAACCTGAGCACACATAGGATCACACAGTTCTGCCCTATACAACTCAGTATAAAACTCCACAGTCCGCTCCCGAATCTCCCCCACCACAGAGGTCACCCGCCCATCGGACAGCCGTAGACAATACATACCCTTGGCTTCACCACTCTGTCTTTCCAAACCAAACAAGAAGGAGCTGGGAGCATCTATCTCCTTGAGCATGGAGAACCTAGCTCTTACAAGTGCCCCCTATGCTTTAACCTGGAAAAAACTGCCCAGGTCCCTACGTAGTTCAGCTAAATTAGCCTGGAGGCCTACATTGCCTTGCCCCACCAGCTCTACCTCCATCTCACTAATACTGCACTCGAGTTCCCCCAATACTCTCCTAGCCTCTGAGGATGAGAGAGCTGTATACTGTTGATAGAAAGGCCGAATTTTGACTTTTCCCACATCCTACCATTGACTCAGAGACTCATACTCTTCTCTTCACTGCCCCCACCTTTCCCCAAAAGTCTGGAAACCTGAGCAAAAAGTGGCATCTTGTAAGAGCTTTACATTAAACTTCCAATAGGATGCCTGCCGAGGCCCTGGTGAAATAGACAGCCGAGCCATGGTTATGTGATGATCCGAATAACCCACCGGGAGAATGGTAGCGCCCAACAGCCTATTGCTCTGATTCCTGGACATGTAAAATCGATCATGTCGGGCTGCACTCACCCTAGCCCCAAAGACCTTCACCCATGTATACTGTCTTGTGTTGGGATGTCTAGTTCTCCAATCATCCACTAGGTCGAACTGATTAATGATGTCCCTTAACACCCCCACTGAGCCTGTATTTCGTAAAATCCATTGTACAGTTCCAGTCCCCGCCGACCACCAGCGTCTCCTCAGGCGCTACCTGTGAGAGTTCCTGTCTAAGACACCCAAACAGACGTCCCCTCTCTCTCCCTGTGTTAGGCACATACACATTTATAAAGACAAAACTCCTGTTGTTAATTTCTGCTTTTACTACAAGCAGTCTACCCCTACACACCTCCTTTGAGGAGCACATTTTTACAGACAGACCCGGTACAAAAAGGACTGCCACCCCTGCACTAATATTTGTCCCATGGCTCAGCACACGTGTCCCTTTCCACCATAGCCCCCAATCGACTTCGTTCACCACATCACTATGCGTCTCCTTCAGAAACTACACCTGTACTTTTTTCTTTTACATATCCACCCAACACACTCCTCTTTCCCGCATCTCTGGCGCCATTTATATTAAGCGAGCCTACCCAAAGAGTCTCCATAAGAAGTGGGAGAAAAGCCAGCAAAGAAAGAGACCAATAGCAAAGCTCAAAAAGCCCCAGTGCCAGAAAAAAACTATTGATCTAAACAGCATCTGAAGGTAGACCTTTACGCACGGTTGTGACCCACTTCCTCAACCTAAACCGTTTCCTGGGTGAGAGGACACCATGCCCCTCATTTTTCATAGCGTGTTGTACTGACCTTACAAATTTTCCCGGATCGCAAAAAAAAGCCTCAAGATTAACCTTTTTCCCATCAGTCTCATTCAGGAACCTTGACAGTTGTGACGAGTACTGAGGATACGAAGAGGTAGGACGCAGACGCAGGAATCAACAATGTAAAGGTTTACTTAACACTGAGCAAGAGAACAACAAAGAGCGAGTACACGACATGACACTAACAATCACACACAACACAACACAACACTGAACAGTCCAGGGCTATATAGGGGTGGTGATGAGATGATGAGGTGCAGGTGCGCTGGAGGTGATTAGGATGCGTTGGGTTTCCATTCCGGTGTTGCCGAGGTGGTGCGCTCAGACCGGTGGCTCAGTAGACCGGCGAATCAGAGCACCGGAGGGGAGCAACGGGAGGAGACGTGACAGTAGTTCCCTCACCATGTACTTTGACCCCTCTGCCTGTCTGGCTGTCAGCTCCGGACCAATTGAGGAGGAGTCTGAAAAGAAAGCATCCTCTTCTTCAGACTCACTTTCCTCCATCTCCCATCCTAACCACCTGCCCTTCCTCTCTAGTCTGGGCCTCCCCCCCAGCACCACACCAGCCTCTCCCCTCCCACCTCCTTTCTTCTCCCCCTTTTTCCTCTTCCGCCTGACACCCTCCTCCACCCCCCCTAGTCGCTTACCCTTCCCCACTATACTCTCCTCATCCACTAGCATAACCTGACTAGGCCCAGCCTCGTCTACACCACCATCTATGACATTACTAGACTCAGCCTCATCTACACCACCATCCATAACATGACTAGACCCAGCCTCATCTACACCACCATCCATAACATGACTAGACCCAGCCTCATCTACACCACCATCTCTAGCATGACTAAACCCAGCCTCATCTACACCACCATCTGTAGCATGACTAGACCCAGCCTCATCTACACCACCATCTGTAGCATGACTAAACCCAGCCTCATCTACACCACCATCTGTAGCATGACTAAACCCAGCCTCATTTACACCACCATCTGTATCATGACTAAACCCAGCCTCATCTACACCACCATCTGTAGCATGACTAGGCCCAGCCTCTGCTGCCTGCGTCTCATGGCCCCCTGCACGTTGACCTCGATTTCCCCCACTGGTGCTTGTACCCTCACCTTGTCTACGGCCTTTATGTGGGCACGCAAAGCTCTTATGCCCCAAATCCCCACACTCAAAGCACCGTAGACTATCTGTGCTGGCAAAACCTGCGTAGAGCCCCTCCCCATGCCTCACTTTAAAGTTCACATTTAACTGTTGCTCGTTGTTGTTCAGAAACATGAACACTTGCCTCCGGAACGAAACAACATGCTTGACAGCATCTGCCTGAAAACCTGCCGACAGTACACGAAAACCGCTAGCAAACTTACCAAAAACGATTCAGCTCCTTCCTGATTTGATCATCCGTAATAAACTGAGGCAAATTTGCAACTACCACCCTTACAAATATTCCACTAGAAATGAGCCTACCCACCAAATTTGCTCTTTTCATGAACACAACCATAGCTTTGTTCATTCTGGAAGCGGAATGTATAAATTCAGCTCCTACCTGTTCGCCGACCGCGAGCAGAACTCCTCCACCTTAATTCCATTCTCAGGAACACACCTGAATCCATGCCGACCGCGAGCAGAACTCCTCCACCTTAATTCCATTCTCAGGAACACACCTGAATCCATGCCGTAACGACAGCGTCTCCTCCGCGCTAGGCTGTGAAGCCATCTGACATACCACACCGTTCAAAACCCCAGGAAACTAAAACTCAGTCCTCTTCCTCCCTAACTTTGGGTACCGTTAAAACAAACATTGCATTAACCCTCCACCATAGAAAATAAAAAATGAAAAGAGAGAGAGAGAGAGAGAGAGAGAGAGAGAGAGAGAATCTTGTCCCAGGGTCTTGTACTTTAGTCTGTACTCATGGCTGTGTGAAGGGAAGGCTGGTTATGAAGGCTGGTTGAGGTTATCGGCCCTGAGGCGCCCTCTAGCTGTCTACTGGCACACTGCACACAGAAAGAGGAGGGAGGACTGTCATCTCTCGGGAAGGAATGTGTCCACAGGGCTTTTTAGTCCACATACCTATCAACACATATTGTATGTACAAAGAGTTCTTCATATTTTAGATTGTAACTCCCCCCCCCAAAAAAAAACGTGTTGTTATATGTAATGTCATTGTAAACCGTTTGTGTTTGTGTTCCTGTGTTACAGTGAAGGAGGAGTGTGGCTCAGAAGAGGAGGATGAGGAGGAGGAGGAGGAGGAGGAGGAGGAAGAGGAGGAGGGAAAGGATGCTCTGGTAGAGGAGGTGCTCCAGCAGGGAGACACGGCGGTCATCTACCCCGAGGCTCCAGATGACAAACAGAAAAGCACGCCTGAGAGAGGGGTCCCAGAGAAGAACGGTAGGCTACATCACTGCACCTTTCACAACTCAACACTTATTGAGACCCTCATACTATTGCTATCTTTGGCCTGCGTCCCAAATGTTACCCTATTCCCAATGTAGTACATTACTTTTGACCAGGCCGCATTTAAGTAGTGTACTATGTAGGGAATAGGGTGCCATTCGGAACGTATTCTGAGACCCTCGTAATTGAGACCCTTATAGAGCTTCTGAGTTTGAGGCACCAATATATCTTCTTTGTTTTATAGTCTTATGTATTTTCCTCCTCAGTCCCAGGCACGCCAGACACCCTCTCTCAGCTCCTGACCTGTCCGTACTGCTCACGGGGCTACAAGCGCTACACGGCCCTGAAGGACCACATCAAGCTACGGCACGAGAAGAGTGAGGACAGCTTCAGCTGCTCTCAGTGCAGCTACACCTTCACCTACCGTACACAGCTGGATTGTCATATGACCCAACACAAGGATCCTGTACAGGTAGGCACCTGTGTGTGTGTGTCCATGTCCCTGTCCCTGTCCCTGTCCCTGTCCTTCTCTGTTCCTGTCTCTGTCCCTGTCTCTGTTCCTGTCTCTGTCTCTATCCCTGTCTCTGTCCCTGTCTCTGTCCCTGTCTTGGTTTCTGTCTCTGTCCCTGTCTCTGTTCCTGTCTTGGTTTCTGTCTCTGTCCCTGTCTCTGTCCCTGTCCCTGTCTCTCTCCCTGTATCTTCTCTGTCTCTGTCCCTGTTGCTGTCTCTGTCCCTGTCTCTCTGCCTGTATCTTCTCTGTCCTTGTCCCTGTCCCTGTATCTTCTCTGTCCCTGTCCCTGTATCTTCCCTGTCTCTGTCCCTGTCTATGTCCCTGTATCTTCCCTGTCCCTGTCTCTGTCCCTGTATCTTCTCTGTCCCTGTCTCTGTCCCTGTCCCTGTATCTTCCCTGTCTCTGTCCCTGTCTCTGTCCCTGTCCTGTCCCTGTATCTTCCCTGTCTCTGTCCCTGTCTCTGTCCCTGTATCTTCCCTGTCTCTGTCTTCTTCCCTGTATCTTCCCTGTCTCGCTCTGTCTCTGTTCTTCCCTGTTCTTCCCTGTCTCTCTCTGTTCTTCTGTCCCTGTCTCTGTCCCTGTCTCTTCCTGTTCTGTCCCTGTCTCTGCGTGTCCTGTTCTGTCCCTGTCTCTGTCCTTCTGTCGTCTCTGTCCTGTCTCGTCCTGTATCTGTCCCTGTCTCTGTCCTGTCCTTCTGTCCCTGTCTCTGTCCCTGTCTCTCTGCCTGTGCTCTGTTCTCCTGTCTCTGTCCTGTCTCTTGCTGTGTTTCCTGCGTCTCTGTTCCCTGTCTCTGTCCCTGTCTCTGTCCCTGTCATCTGTCCTGTCCCTGTCCCTGTCCTGCTGTCTTCCTGTCTCTGTCCTGTCTCTGTCCTCCTGTCTCTGTCCCTGTCTCTGTCCCTGTCTCTCTGCCTGTATCTTCCCTGTCCCTGTCCCTGTGTCCCTGTCTCGTCCCTGTCCTGTCCCTGTCCCTGTCTCTGTCTCTGTCCCTGTCTCTGTCCCTGTCTCTGTCCCTGTCTCTCTGCCTGTATCTTTCCCAGATTTCCTGCCTATTCCCTCCTCATTCCAGGAATCTTCCAACTGGGATTTCTGGAAAACCTGGTGGTTTTGGGATAGTTACCAGTATTTTGCAACCCTAATGCTTTCATTGCTGGGGCTCAGTCCCCTGGCAGACTGCCTGGGTCATTAACATACTATAGAATGGGCAGTCCTCCCACTGACAATCATTAGTGTGATATAAATATAAATACCTGAATGTTTATCTGCTCCTGTTGAATACATTTTCTTTATGGATTTCTGTTTTGCATTACAATTCATCATTTTGTCATAACCCAAACCTAGCTTTATCACTGTCTGCTGACAAACAGGCACAAAGTAACCTCTGTTTAGATAATCAATGCGTTTTGGAATGCTTTTATTGATGTGATCCATTGGATTATGAGGCAAAGGATCAGAGACGATGCATCCCAAATGGCAACCTATTTTCTTTTTATGCACAACAACAGTGAAAATGTACACTGATCCGTTAAATATTTATGCCAAATCTTTTATCAGCTTTATTTGAATTCTCCCTTTAGCCTGTTCTTTGATGAAGCAATTTGATTAATGTGTCTGTATTTCAAATATGGCTATTTCTTTTACTGCTTTACTGGGAATTAACAGTAACAAGAGAGTACTCTTTAGACAGGGTGCTGTTGTGACATTACAAACATCCCCATCCCATGCACAACAAACCATTAACTACACTGTATCCATTTAATGACTGAAGAGTCCTCACTCACCGCTGTCTGTCTTTCTGTCTGTCCTATCTGTCTGCCAGCGTCATGTACCCCAGACCACCACCACCACAACAACAACAGGGGGGAACAGGAAGTTCAAGTGTACTGAGTGTTCCAAGGCTTTTAAATATAAGCACCACCTGAAGGAGCACCTTCGCATCCACAGCGGTGAGTAAAAATTAGCATCACCCCGGTCGCCATTGGCAACACACACACTTCGTCATCATGACTCATACCCACTGGGCACAGACGTCATTTCAATGTAATTTCATTGAAAATGGCGTGGAAACAACATTGATTCAACCAGTGTGTGCCCAGTGGGTAGTGTCTGCATCCAAAATGGTACCCTATTCCTGACCGGACCCCTGTAGAGGGCTATTTAGGAGGCAGACACTGCGACTCACCTATATTCACGCTGGTGGTCCAGATGTACCGAACTCACCCTTTTCTCCTTTCATATGTTTAGATTATGCAGCTCTGTCATTTCAAACTCTTGATTATAATCAGTGTTGAATCTGTGCTCCTGGCCAATGTGTCATCATTCTGTTGCTATTGGCTTCAGGGGAGATTATTACCTCAGCCTGTTTGTTAACGATAGGTTCACCTGAGTCCCAAATAGCACCATATTCCGACAGGGCTCTGGTCAAAAGTAGTGCACTATATAGGTAATAGGGTGCCATTTGGGACACAACCTCAGCTGTTCAGCTGTTTCCTTATTTGATTACAAAAAAAATATATATCTCTTTCTTCGCAGGAGAGAAGCCATACGAGTGCCCCAACTGTAAGAAGCGTTTTTCCCACTCAGGGTCCTACAGCTCCCACATCAGCAGTAAGAAATGTGTTGGCATGGTGCCTGTCAACGGCACCCCCCGCCCAGTCATCAAGGTCTCCAACCAGACCCCCAGCCAGACCCAGCCCTCTGGCCCCACCGCGGCCCCCGTCCGAGTGCTCCTCCGGGGGGAGAAGACAGACGGCAAGCCCCTGCAGGAGCAGCTCCCCCACAACCAGATAAAATCTGAGCCAGTGGACTATGAGTGCAAGCCGGTGGCGGTGGCTCCTAACGGGGCGGCGGGGACTAACGGCACGGTGTTTAACGGCGGCGTGGTGCTACCCCAGGGCATGGCGTTGCCTCAGGGCATGGTCCAGGCGGTGGTACTGCCCACCATGGGTCTAATGTCTCCAATCAGTATTAACCTCAGCGACCTGCAGAACGTGCTCAAGGTTTGATTTGATTTATAATTGTTTTAATAACCCATATATTTGATCATTTATGGATACAATGCATTTTAAAGGATCTCTTTACTCAAAAAGTTCACTGTTGATATGGTCCTAAACGTTGCATGTCAGCAGTAAAGTTTTAAAGTGTGATGATGCAAAATGAGGATAACAACTTAGTTCCATGGTGGTCCTCTTATATCCAAGGTGGCCATGGATGGGAATGTGCTGCGTCAGGTGCTGGGGACGGCCAACGGGCTGGTGACCTCCAAGCAGGGGTTTGTGACACAGGCTGGGCAGCAGGTCATCTCAGCCATCAGCCTGCCTGGCTTCGTCGACCAGGACGGAACCACCAAGATCATCATTAACTACAGCCTGGAGCCAAGCCCAGCCCAACAGCCCACCGCCCCTCAGCTCCTCAAGAAGGAGGCTCCCCCTCCCACCACCAACACCGCCAGTACCACAAACACACAGCCAGCCTCCAAAGTAACAGAGAAACTCCCCCAGGACCTAAGCATCGACAAGACCGAGCCGACCGACTCGGAGTGCGAGTCTGAGAAGGAGAAGGAGAAAGAGATGGAGACGGAGGAGACAGAGACTGAAGCAGAGCAGACTGAAGCTGAGACACCAAAAGCCCAGACAGGCAAGACAGGGTGTCTGCTGTGTGACAACTGTCCTGGTGATTTGGATGCACTGCACATGCTCCAGCATTGTAAACCTGCCAATGGGGAGGGAGGTGACGACGGCCCCCTCGACCCCTCCATCGCCGCCCTCCTGGCCGAGGCAGGGATAACACCAGGCCAGCACCCTCTAAAGAACCTACTCTCCCTCCTCAAGGCCTACTTCACCTTAAACGCAGAGCCCACCGAGGAAGAGCTGGCCAAGATCTCTGACAATATCAGCCTGCCCGTGGACGTGGTCAAGAAGTGGTTTGAGAAAATGCGGTCTGGTCAGATCACGGTCGGACCCCCTGGTTCCTCTCCAGATGACTCTGGACTTTCAGATCCCAGCACAGAGACCCAGGTTGCCCAAGAGAAGAGTGGGACAGAGATAGAGGAGCAGCCTGCCTCAGCCCAAACACAGGAGATATCATCTTCCCAACCTCCCAGCAGTTCCCCTGCCTCGACCTCCTTGTCCCCCTCGGTCTCAGCCTCGGCCCCCTCACCACTAAACCTCTCCTCCAGCGGCCCGGTCATCGTGAAGACTGAGGACGACTCGGAGCGCGAGGCTCAAGATCTTCCCCTGGACCTGTCCCTTCCCAAACAGCCCCAGTCACAGCCCCAGGTCCCCCATGTCCCCCAGGAGCAGCCCCTCAACCTCACCTGCCTGAAGGAGACACTCCAGCCCCAAGCGCAGCTCCCAGGCTTCCAGGGAACCACCAACACCATCTACGTCACCTCCTCCCCCCAAACTGCCATTTCCAGCCCAGTGAACATCATGAGCACCCAGCTAGTAGCCATCACCAACCAGGGCACCGGCACCACCAAACGGACTATCCTCATCCCCCAGCTCACCTATACATACACTACTACAGCAGCAGGCAGTGGCGCCGCCGGGGCCCAGAAGACCGTCATACTCAACGGCTGCCAGGTTGGTTTGTAACAGAGCTATTCAGAATATATGATTGATTATGTGCAAGAAGACAATGTTAAGAGATAGGTAGTGTGGAAAGAATGCACTGTTAGTTTCCCCTAGCTTCCTGCTTCAGCTTTACTGACTAACCTGACTAACCCAGCCCTCAGGAGTCAGCCTGTATCTCAAATAGTACCCTATTCCATAGGTCTCTAGTCAAAAGTAGTACAGTATGTAGGGAAAAGCATGGCATTTGGGACGCATCCTTACTCTGCCTGTGGAGAAAAGAAAGCCGTCCTGGCTCAATGGTTCGGGCTCCCTCTAGTCTTCCCTGTTATCTAATACTACATTAGAGCTGCCGCAGCCTGGAGTTGAGTTGGATTCCTCCTGGAAGACTCCGGGGACCGTGTGTGTGTGTGTGTGTGTGTGTGTGTGTGTGTGTGTGTGTGTGTGTGTGTGTGTGTCTGTGTGTGTGTGTGTGTGTGTGTGTGTGTGTGTCTGTGTGTCTGTGTGTGTGTCTGTGTGTGTGTGTGTGTGTGTGTGTCTGTGTGTCTGTGTGTGTGTGTGTGTGTGTGTGTGTGTCTGTGTGTGTGTCTGTGTGTGTGTGTGTGTGTGTCTGTGTGTCTGTGTGTGTGTGTGTGTGTGTGTCTGTGTGTCTGTGTGTGTGTCTGTGTGTGTGTGTGTGTGTGTGTGTAAGCAGAATGAATCCTCCAACGTATGTTAATACGTGTGAGCAGCTCACAGCACAGCGTCTGTCTGAAAGCCCACGTGGGTGTCAGTGTCTGACAGGTGTGGCAGAGAGAGCTCTCTAAGTTACTCCTGGTGTGGCAGAGAGAGCTCTCTAAGTTACTCCTGGTGTGGCAGAGAGAGCTCTCTAAGTTACTCCTGGTGTGGCAGAGCAGAGAGAGCTCTCTAAGTTACTCCTGGTGTGGCAGAGAGAGCTCTCTAAGTTACTCCTGGTGTGGCAGAGAGAGCTCTCTAAGTTACTCCTGGTGTGGCAGAGAGAGCTCTCTAAGTTACTCCTGGTGTGGCAGAGAGAGCTCTCTAAGTTACTCCTGGTGTGGCAGAGAGAGCTCTCTAAGTTACTCCTGGTGTGGCAGAGAGAGCTCTCTAAGTTACTCCTGGTGTGGCAGAGAGAGCTCTCTAAGTTACTCCTGGTGTGGCAGAGAGAGCTCTCTAAGTTACTCCTGCTGGGATTTTTAGAACTGATCTCTCCTCACATAAAAACGTTTGACAGTGGAAACACTGTGTTTAAATTAAATAAATTAGGATTATTAGGGGTAACCTATTGTTTTTGATGGAATTCTTCTCCCTAATAACATTATTATTATTATGATAAAAAAAATCTGTATTTTGCTTGGACAGGAGGAGAAGTCTGCCACCAGCTCAGAGGAGCAGAACAACTCGGACTCTTCCCCTCCGCAGAAGAAGATGCGTCGGCTAGAGAGCGGGATGTACGCCTGTGACCTGTGTGACAAGATCTTCCAGAAGAGCAGCTCCCTGCTCAGGCATAAATACGAACACACAGGTAAACAATATGGCCACTGGCTGCGGATCCATTGGGTCAGGGGCCGTATCTATCAAGCGTCTCAGAAGCCTTGTGTAGACCTGGCGCTAACGTGTCCTTTGTCCTGATATTGTGCACATTCTGATCGAGCCCACATTTTCAGAAATGTGTCTACATGTGATATTAAAATATGTCTGTTATCCGTCCACTGTATCCGCATTGTGACCAGATTTCCTGGTCCCTTCCTGTATGCAAATTATTTGACAGCTATTCTTTCAAAATAATATTTATTTATTTTAAGACACATATAGATGCCATAAGTCAATGGTGCCACCTGTCAATGATTTAGAAGGTGGGATAATGAGGATTTAAATGGTTTCATTGTCCAGATTCGTCAACACTTGTAAGATATCCAGACACGCTGCGTGCCTGACTACCTCCAGATGTGGGCAGGAAGATCTGATCACAATTAGACCACAATGCATCTTTTAACCGTCTACACCTGTCTGAAAATGTGGGCACAATCAGAATGTACACAAGATCGGGACAAAGGATGCATGTATAACCAGGTATAAACGGGGCTATAGTTGTAGTGCTGATTTAGGATCAGTTTTGCTTTTTAGATCACAATAAATAAGATTACGCGGACAGGGAGGACATGATCCTAGATCAGCACTCCTACTCTGAGATGTTTGATACATACGGCCCCTGGTGTGGTGGAATTATTTTTGTATTCCTTTTTAATGAGAGCTGCCTGCCTTATACCACTCCTTCTCATCTGCACTATGAGACATTACTTCACTTGCATGATATGAATGGGGATAACATTGACAGGCATTTAAAAGACCAAGGGCTCTATTCAATCCGTATCGTGGAAGTTAAGTGTTACAGCGTGATTGAAATTTGAAAGCAATCTTCCCGCGTTAGCGGAGACTGCATTCACGGTAAACCAGGGGCAGGCAACTAAATTCAGCCTCGGGACGATTTTTGTCGGAGTGGATGGTCGGGGGGCCAGAACATAATTATAGTAATTTGCACACTGCAAATTGACCATAACTAAGCCCAAAAAGAGATTGTATTTGAAAATAACAATCATTAAATACCTTGATTACATTGAGACACAATCACATCTTTTTTTTAATTTTTCTTGTGAATACTTGGTGAACAGATTTCCTAAATTAAACAAATTTTTTGCTGAATTCCTGGTGATTTTTGTCTTTTTTTTAACCCAAAAGTATATATAGATTATTATTTTTTGTTGCTAAAAATGTTTAGGGGCCCAAACAAAACTTGTGTGCCAGTTTTGGGCCGCGGGCCGTCTGTCGCCGACCCCTGCGTAAATGCTGAATATGTCGGCTCAATCGGAAATGACCTTCAGCTTTGAATAGAACCCTATGGTTTTTACCTGCCTACTGCTTTCGTTATAGAGAACCCAGGTTGCTTCTTCCCTGAATCTGGTATAACAGCCTAATATCGTCCTCTTAAACAGCCAAGCTAACATCCTCTTAAACCACCTAATGTCCCCTTAAACCACCTAATGTCCTCTTAAACCACCTAATGTCCTCTTAAACCGCCTAATGTCCTCTTAAACCACCTAATGTCCTCTTAAACCACCTAATGTCCCCTTAAACCACCTAATGTCCTCTTAAACCGCCTAATGTCCTCTTAAACCACCTAATGTCCTCTTAAACCACCTAATGTCCTCTTAAACCACCTAATGTCCTCTTAAACCGCCTAATGTCCTCTTAAACCACCTAATGTCCTCTTGAACCACCTAATGTCCTCTTAAACCGCCTAATGTCCTCTTAAACCACCTAATGTCCTCTTAAACCACCTAATGTCTTCTTAAACCACCTAATGTCCTCTTAAACCACCTAATGTCCTCTTAAACCACCTAATGTCCTCTTGAAACACACATGAATTATTGCTTATGAGATGCGTGTGTGGCCACTGGCTCAACCCCCTTTGATTCGATTTGGCGTTAATGGCTCTGGGATGTGTCCCAAATGACAACCTATTCCCTATATACTGCACTTCTTTTGACCAGAGACCTATAGGAAATAGGGTGCAATTTGGGACGCACCCCTGGCCTGGCTCAGGACAAGCAGGCAGAGTCCAAATGATTTTTGAAAGGGGCTAGAGGGTTGTTTAACGGCCCGTTGGATGGGCCCAGTTGAACTTCGTCCCAAATGGCACCCTATTCCCTTTATAGTGTACTACTTTTGATGAGGGCCCATAGGGCACAGGTCAAAAGTAGTGCACTATATAGGGAATATGGTGCCTTTTGGAACACAACCCTCATCTCTTCTTCCTGGGTTCAATGAGAACCAGGTCCAGAATAACATATCAGCATCAGGCAGCTAGTTTGATCTCCATCTCCACATATTTTCCTATTGCAACAGACCTGCTAGAATCCTTTTAGGGGGATTTTCTTGAGTGTTTTATATCATTGTGAGAGTTTTTGTTATGCTATTGTTTCCACAACAAGTGCCGTTGGTTTCACAGTTAGTAAGTCTGCAGGCAGGTCAGTGATTGTAGAAAGTGACACCAGGCAGGCTGCCTGGGTCCAGAACTAATGTAATGGTAAAAGCAGTTCACACACACACACACACACACACTCACACACACACACACACACACACACACACTGCAAATCAAGAGTAATGGGTTTCGGATTGATTTCTGTTGTAATGGCTGGTTGAGTTTGAAATAGTTTGAAACACTGAACCCTCCTGTGTTTCTGTTTTCAGGAAAACGGCCACATGAGTGCGGCATCTGCGACAAAGCCTTCAAACACAAGCACCACTTGATAGAACACACGCGACTGCACTCCGGAGAAAAGCCCTACCGCTGTGACAAGTGTGGCAAGTGTTTCTCCCACTCGGGCTCCTACAGCCAGCACATGAACCACCGATACTCCTACTGCAAGAAGGAGCCCCAGGGAGGGCGGCAGGGGGGACGTCAGCTCGGCATGAGCCCTGAAATGAGCCCCCAAACAGAGGAGCAGCAGTCAGACAGCCGTCCCACCTCCCCACCTTCCCAACTGGACTCAGACGAGAGGGAGAGTGAGGAAGAGCTGGAGGAAGAGGAGGAGGAAGAGGAGGAAGAGGGCATGGCGGCCATGAGCATGGACGACATACGGGTGGTGCAAGTCGGTGAGGATGACGAGGAGAGTGAGATTTACGAGGTGGAGGAGTTTAGGGAGGAGAGGAAAGAGGAGGAGGAAGAGGAGGAGGAAGGGAGCAGAGAGAAAGAGGAGGAGGAGGAAGGGAGCAGAGAGGAAGAGGAGGAGGAAGGGAGCAGAGAGAAAGAGGAGGAGGAGGAAGGGAGCAGAGAGGAAGAGGAGGAGGAGGAGGAGGAAGAGGAGGGGGTACAGCAGAAGCAGGTATGTGAAGAAGAGCAGGATGAGGAAGGGAGGAGAGAGGAGGAGGAGGTTTGTAAAGAGGAGTCTCTACAGCAGGAGGATGTGTGTGAGGAAGAGGAGGTGATGGAGGTACAGGTGATGGGAGGTGTAGAGGAGGAAGAGGAGGAGGAAGGAGTGGCAGAGAAGGAAACCATAGTAACAGAGGAAGCTATGGAAACGGAGGACAAAGAACCGCATGTGGACAAGGAGGACATCCCGACGGAGGGGTTGGAAAACGGACAGAAAGAAACAGAGGAAGACAAGATGAACGGTGAATGAAGAAAATACATTCTCTGATGAAAATGGAAATCCTAGGTGTCAAATAGCAGGACAGGAAAATCTTGTCTTGTCGTCAAAAGAAGAAATAAAACAAAGATGGCTGCCATGTTGATGGTGTGTGTCGGTCCACTACTGTGTTGAAACCTAGGTGTGCCTGAGCTAGACATAAAAGAAGTGACTTTTTCTTGTGAAAAAATAAATCAGTGTTACTTAGACCTTGTTTATAGACGTATAAAATGAAGAAAAAAACAGCCCAACGACTTGTAAAAGTTAGACCTGACCTTTCAATTATTTTGTTACTGAGAGTGAGACATCTGATCCCAGGTCATTTCTGTTTGTCAGTGTTATTTTGACTAATTTTACCACTCTTGTTTTAATCTCTTAACCTGTACAGTTGAAGAAACATTTCTATACCTTTTTATTGCCAATGAAGATGTTTGCTAAAATCAGTATTTTATTGAGTTGTAAAGTAAAAAAAAAAAAAAAAAAAATGCACTACAGTAATCCTGGTTTACATTTGTAACCTATGGATACGACATGCCTCATGATGTGTTGTCCACCCTTCAGTATTATTGTGTTCACACTAGCTGTACATACTCTTCATGTTAGCTAACGTTAGCATAGCATTTTGTTTTCAGTTGGTTTGTTAACATTAAGAAGGAAAGAGGATTCTGGGGGTATTGATGGGAGGGGTTAGCCTGATTGCCAGTCTGATAGTGCTAGCATGTCAACTCCTCGTCACTCAATGTCATGTATGGCTTGACAAGGACAGCACAAACAGATCTGGGACCAGGCTATGGAGGGGGGGTATCTGTCTGACATCATAACCAAACTGTCCTATCAGGGAAAGGTAGTGTGACAACCTCAAAGCCAGCATTCTTAACCATGCTTCTCCTTGTTTGTGTCCCAATAATCTCTCCTTCCTCCTGAACGGTGAACTTGTTCACTGATCTCCATTAATCTAAAAGCATTGGATTGGTGGAGCATGGGCTAGCTAGACTATAGACGTTTCCATAATATTTCTTATACCAGTAATTTCCTATCCTTGAAGGGAAGTGATCAAGTGCACACTTTTAGAGAAAGGAGAGATTATTGGGATGTACCCGTTGTTTTCAGTTGAGAGATTATTGGGACGTACCCGTTGTTTTCAGTTGGTTTGGTTCGTTTTTAATCAATGATCATCAGTGTTATAGGGTCATATGAAGCAGGGGGGGGTAGATATGTGCTCTACCCCGACCCAATGTCTCCAGCCTTATGCAAGACCAGACCTGTGTGCTGTAAGTGCCATTGAACAGTGTTCTTTGTACCCCACGGACGTAGTCTTTCTGCACAAGGCCCATGTTGACTAATGTTTGTTTACTTGCTTGGACTCATTTTCACAGTATTCCCTTTATAGTGCGCTTATAGGGCTCTGGTTAAAAGTAGTGCAGTAGGGAATGCAAGGCAATAGCATGGATAAGGACTCCATGTGTACGTGAACAAAGATGAGCAACAAAGCGAGAATAAGACGGATATTAAAGGTTTTTACAGTATTTAAGGGGATTTTTTGTTGGAACAGTCAGACATTATTAGTTGAGTGCACTTGTTTTACAAAATGGTGGCAAGCTAACCCAGCGCTTCAGGTAACAAACGTTAGTGAATGTGGTCCCTGTGTTTTACGAAGTGTTTCAGTTGATTTGACCTAACAGTGTTACAGAATTATTTTCAGTTTGGTTTTAGTTGTTTTTTTTTTTAAATATGTGTGTGTCCTGTGTATTTTTTTCAACAATGGCAGTATTAGAAACCTTTTCACTGATGAAAGTGGACCTGTTTAGTTTTTAGAGGACCTTTTATATTTGTGTGTCTTATTTTTCTATTACTTTATGATTATTTATTACACACATTGTAGTGTACAATAGTGTAGTGTGAATTGATACAATAATATATTTTAGTATGAAAAATGATTAGAAGGTCAATGAATCCAGAGTAGGAAGTGCCGCTCTGGGGTTGGTTATGAAGTTTGTTTAAAAAAAAAAAAGTATTATGTTAACATGACGTCTGTTTAAGCTTAAAAAAAAAAAAAAAAGAGAGAAGAAGATAAATGAAGAGGGAAATGGAAAGCGTTTCATGTGCATCCATCATCAGAGATCAGAGTCGTTGGGTACTCTGACCTGTTCTTACTGTGATATGAAGATACTGAAAACTAACTGTGTGACTAAATGCATGAGTCCTTGCTGTTGTAATGAAGGATTGATCTCGTTATGAAGATGTACGTAACTCCTATTCTTTCAAAGCCAAAATTAGATTATCATGCCCCTTTTGTCTTTCTGTTTTGTGCCAATTTGTTACGTTGTACTGTTATATGTCAGAGGCTACAATTTGTTTTATACATTTCCTGTTTAATATAGTTTAATATAGTCTGTTTTTAGAGTTGTTTTATTTTTTTAGAGTTTGGCTTAATTTTTTATGACTTCCCGTCACAATAAAATACGAGAAAGCATTTCTGGTGAGGAGTGATCTTTTTTTCTTTTTTTATGTAACTATAAACACATTTATTCCTCAAAACTGTATTGTATGGTTGCCTTTTAGTTCCTAGTGGGAGTCCGGAGACAGTAGTTGGTGTATTGATGCTTGTTGATAGTAGGTGTATATGGTTGTATCCAGTAGAGGCTGCTGAGGGGAGGAAGGCTCATAATAATGGCCGGAATGGAGTAAATGGAATGGCATCAAACACATTCATGTGTACCCCATTCCATTCACTCCATTCCAGCCATTATACGCCATACCAGCCATTATTATGAGCCGTCCTCCCCTCAGCAGCCTCCACTGTTTGTATCAGATGAACACAAGGCTGTATACTGACTATCAACAATGAGCCTTTTAAAGGTAATTTATGCTTGAGCCGTATTCTTCAGCGTTTACCTTGAATGCGAACGTCAGGGAAATAGCCTTTAAAAGGAGCATTGTGGGTAGTGCAGTGCGCAGCGCTGCGACGCGTGTTTGAATTAAATACCTGACTGTATTTCCTGAATGTTATCTGTTCTGCCAGTTATATTTCCGGTCTAAAGGTGATCTATAAAGGAGATTACAGTTCTGACACTGAGCCAGCTTGTGGAGTCCAGTGCCTCCTCGGAAATTTCAAGTACATTTTCATTGAAGAGCAACTGAACGTAATAAGCAACTTCTCCTTTTGAACACGGCCTTTGTGGCATCGATGTGATTCAGAAACATTTATTATAGTGTCAAAACTGATTACAAAGTGTAAATAGGATAATTTTGGTCATAAACTAATTCTCGCCAAAACGGAGATTTGCGAGATATTTAGGGGAGAAAGTATGTCACGGAAAGAAGAGATAGGCTATCCAAAGTCAAACCAACTTTGCCACGGTCGCACACCGGCCCGGCTGAAGCTAATTGGCGAAAGAAGTTGGCTAGCTTGCTACTGCAGCTTTTCTAGGCTACTTCCAGACACAGTAACTGGTTAGACTGTTTCAAGTTATCTAGAAGGGTGAGTCACTGTAACTGTGTACTGTTTTGGCAGAGTGAAAGTACAAACGCTTCCCACGTTTGAACACACACGAGACACCCACCTCAAAGCATGCCTCCAAAACCCAAATCTCATTCTCAGTCGCATTTCCTGATGGGGAGAATTTAAACCGATGCTAAATCAGGAAGTTTAGCCCCCCTTAAAGAGGAAAAACACACACCAGAAGAATATAAAATCAAACTGATTTAAACACACACACTATAATCACACTATTACTTTACACGTAACCCTAACCCTTTACACATGCAGTTGAGGAAAATATCATCAAGCGTTGACATGATATCCAAATGGTTGTTTTCCAACTAATATAGAAGATTTATTGTGATATAGTAAGTAACTTTAGGGTGATGTAGTGGAGATGAGTCGGACTCACATTCGCGTTGTGAGGTATTATTAAAAAGGAGCACAATAAAATTACAATAATGAGGCTATATACAGGGGGTACCGGTACAGATTCAATGTGCGGGGGTACAGGTTAGTTGAGGTAATTTGTACATGTAGGTAGGGGTAAAGTGACTATGCATAGATAATAAACAGCGAGTAGCAGTAGTGTAAAAACAAAGGGGGGGGGGGGGGGGGGGGTGTCAATGCAATTATTCCGGGTGCCCATTTGATTAATTATTCAGCAGTCTTATGGCTAGTGGGTAGAAACTGTTAAGTATCCTTTTGGACCTAGACTTGGCGCTCCGGTACCGCTTGCCGTGCAGTAGCAGAGAGAACAGTCTATGACTTGGGTGACTGGAGTCTTTGACAGGAAGTCCAGGATCCAGTTGCAGAGGGAGGCGTTTAGTCCCAGGGTCCTTAGCTTAGTGATGAGCTTTGTGGGCACTATGGTGTTGAACGCTGAGCTGTAGTCAATGAACAGCATTCTCACATAGGTGTTCCTTTTGTCCAGGTGGGAAAGGTCAGTGTGGAGTGCGATTGAGATTGCGTAATCTGTGGATCTGTTGGGGCAGTATGCGAAATTGAGTGGGTCTAGGGTTTCCGGGGTGATGGTGTTGATGTGAGCCATGACCAGCCTTTCAAAGCACTTCATGGCTACCGACGTGAGTGCTACGGGGCGTTAGTCATTTAGGCAGGTTACCTTTGCTTTCTTGGGTACAGGGACTATGGTGGTCTGCTTGAAACATGTAGGTGTTACAGACTCGGTCAGGGAGAGGTTGAAAATGTCAGTGAAGACACTTGCCAGTTGGTCCGCGCATGCTCTGAGTACATGTCCTGGTAATTCGTCTGGCTGGATTACAGCTTCCATACCAAATAATTAGAATACAATCTCTTGAAATAATAAACACAAAGGTGAAGGCAAAGGTACATTATTATTAAAGTGACATGTCTTCGTTCTGTTTGCATGAGGTGAATCTGTTTGATTTATCACCTTGTTGATTGGCTACATATCTGCACATGCACACACACACACACAAATACACACACAAACACAGACTAGTGCTAACATCAGCAACGTGCAGTGGTGGAA